TGAGTCTATTGCCTGGAAGTGAATATAAATTAGATTAAAGAGAGCAGAATGTACTATGGGATTAAGGAGGCTTAAAACTGAGAGGGCAATTTAGTGTACAAGTGCAACTGAGTTTAACTGAAGGTAAGTGTCAATGATGGGTTCATAAGGCCCTATGGCATTTGTAAAAACAATCATATTTTTTAAAGTCTGTGCAGCCACAAGAAGTGTGAATGAGAGACTGTCTTCTGAACAACCAATTTAATTTCAAACCCTATCAGTTTTTCTTTTCAGTTGTGAAGTGCAGGAATTTAGGAAATAACATTTCAGATACCTCCTTTCAAAATGTAGGTATGGCTTGCTCTGTGTGAACCTTTAAGTTCCTTTTGGATTTTCTTTTAAAAATGGAATTTTTGCCATCTCAGACAACTGAGTTATATTACTATAGAAGAAAATCATATTATCTCTCATTCTCTCTCTCCTCTTCCCCCGCAGCCAGACCAATTCAACCAGTGTTTAATCTCCTACTCATTGTAGTACCTTGACTTGTGTTTAAAAATAATATTACTAGGTCTCATCCCAGAGTTATCCCTGAGGTCCATAATAGAGAACCTCCCCTGCAGTGTCTTTCTCAAGTTGAAAAACACCTCCAAGTGCAGTCATTACTGTGGTAAGAGAAATGTTTCCAGTGATCACACAGACCTTGTTTGCTACTGTCTTTGCTGTGTTTGTTATGTCACCAGGTTTAAAGGCTGTGATAACTTGCTTAGCCCACTTTTCCCAGTTGTTAGGAAGGTGAACTCGTCTGAGGCACACACAGTGCCAGTGGGAAGCACGTTGTCTCCAGGGCCCTTCAGGTACCTACCGATGCCAACACAGCTTGACCCGGACCTTCTCCCATAGGTGCTGGAGGGAGAATCGTGGGGACATGGCAGAGCCGATTCCTGCCCCCGGCCTGTGAGATGTTGGGCTCATTAACTACCAAGAGTGATTCTGTCTTCCCTGAGGTGGAAAAGTTTTCACTAGATTAGCAGTATGGATTCTTCCTGTTGTAAAATTCTGTGACAGATATCAAACTCAAAATGTTTTTTTGAGAATGAAAATATACTTGGCTTCTAAGTATTGAGCAAAACTGTAGAGTGTAGCACAGTTGTTTCCAACTGGGCCTGAGGAGATCTGGCTGTACTATTTTGCTACTTTTGAGCAAAAGTCTGTCACCTAACACCTGTGTACCGTGTAAACCAAGAAGTGAAAAGGGTTTTTTGAAAAGCCATTTCTACTCATGTAAAAGTACCTCAGCAATTCTCAGGGGAGTATGGAGGAAAGGCAGTAAGAGGAAGGTAGAGATGTCAACACTTCACATATAAGAAACAGCAGGGACCTCCCTGGTGGTGCAGCGGGAGCACTATGAAGATAGCTCAGCTTCGGAGTTTGATCCCCGCCCTGGAGGTGACCCACATGGTGCGGCAGACCTCTCCTGTCTCGCTGGCTGCTCCCCTCAGCAGTGTACTCCCTGGATCTGTCTGTTCTGTTCCCTGCTCTGTCTCTGGTGAATCCTCTCACCACCCCTGCATTTCTAGCCTGTACCCTAATACTGTATGCATAAATAAATAAATCTTAAAGAAAAAAGAAAAGAAGCAGCATGCTCTCAGGTAAAATATAAAAGAATTGCATTAGTGACATAATCAGTTAAGCATTTCTCTTAGGGCTTGTATCCTATTTTAGTTAAAAAGATGAGCTCTTTCCATTGATGTACCTAAAATCAGCTTTCAAAAGAAAAGAAACTACTAAAATACCCGGAGAGGGGTGGAGGAGAGCCTGCCTATGTAAGACACCAATAACCTCACCTGGAAAGTAATTTCATGTGTTGGAGAGGTAATTTTCCCCCTGTCTTTGTGGCACTTTAACAAGAATATAACAGATTGATCTAGGTACTTGAACAAGTTACAATAACCACAGGGAGTGTTGGCAATTTAGGTGCATTTGAGAGGTAGTGAATATCTGGGATTCATTTTTTTCTTCCCACAATCGTGGGATTCTTAACAGAACCCTCATATTTTCTGACTTCAGGGCCCTGCCCAAGTGAGGTCTTCTGAGTGTCCCTTTATTGAAATACAATGAGACTTGCTAATCACAGATTATCCACTTTGGGATGAAGTCTTATCAGAAATATTGGGGGGTTAGATGACCAGCACTGATAGGAAGTAATTAGAGAGAGTGTTGGTACAGCCGTTGGGTTTGGCACATAGCACCAGGAAGAAATCACAGAAACAGAAAACTAAAATCAGTCAGTTGGTACAGGTATGATTGCAAACAATTAGAATTCCCTCCAGAAAGTACTGGAATTATCACTTGAACAACATACCCGCTTCTGGGTATATGTCTAAAGGAAATAAGCACAGAATAATGAAGAGATGTCTGCACCCCCATTTTCACTGAAGCATTATGCACAGTAGCTGAGCTGTGGAAGCACATCAGTGTGTATTAATGAGTGAATGGCTAAAGATGTTTGTTGTATGACACCTATCTTTCAGTTATGAGAAAAAAGGAAATCCCATCATTGCAACAAAGTGGATGGACTTTTCTAGCAGTACACTAAATGAAATGAACCAGGCAGAGAAAGCAAATTGTTACACGAATAGAAACAGCATAAAAGTGATTGCCAGAGTCTAGGGGATGGGCAGGATAAGAAGAGGTTGATGAAAGGCTTCTAACTCTCAGCTATAAAATGAGTTTTAAGTTCTGAGGATGGAATGTAAAACATGATGACTACAATTAATAACACTGTATCATATCATTGAAATTTGTTATTAAAGTAAAAGGTGTATATTCACACACACATATACAAAGATAAATATGTGAAGAGGCTGTTAATTAACTGGATGCGAGGAGTCTTTTTACACTGTATCTGTGTATCAGATCTCCACAATATACACTTTAAATATCTTACTATTTAATATGTAACTATTTAGCTGAAAGTAAAGGGGGAAAAAAATAGACCAATAGAATGAAGGAAACAAGGGGGAAATGAATGTAAAATCATTATGTAACCTTAAAATCGATCTCTTACCCTAGGATATTTTAATGAACAATTTGCTTTCGCACGGTATAGGAGACCTTAGGCCTGACTGCAGGCCTGTTTTTACACAGATCTCTGAGGCATTTGTCTTTCCTAGAGCTTCTGCCTGTGCAGTTTGCCTGGTTTCTTTTTTTCCTGCCTTGAATCATGAATTCATAAAGCATGAGTTGGTAAAATCACTACATATTATCTTGTGCTTTGTTCTATCCAATAATTGGTCTTTTGGGCTTCACTTGACTAATTCAAAAGATAGAGAACCGTGTTTTACAAGGCACCTCAATCCATTTTCAGACAGCTCTAATTGTCTTCATTTTTTGTGTCAAAATCTTTCTCTTTGTAACTTATTAGTTCTAGGTCCTTGCTCTTGAGGCCCATTCTTGTTGAAATCAGCTATTGTATTCCTCTCTACCCACATTCCATATACTCAACTACTCTATCCACTTCTTTAATGTAGAAATGTTTAAAATTGTTAACATTTCAAATTCTTGTTTCATCTCTACACTGTCTTTTTCATACAGGAAAACAGTTTTTATTCTTTTCTCCTGAGAGTAATTCTTTTAGGTTTGCTACTCCAAGGCCTACCCTGCCTCTCTACCAGCTCTTGCCTCACCCCACTCTGCCCCCACCCCAACATAGTGTAATCTTGAGGATTATTTAGAAGACAAGTTTCTGACTCCCTCTTTCAGCCCCTGGATGTATGTACCAGTAGTACCATCACTCCAAGCTCTATTGATTGTACATCTGTTTTCTGACAGGAGGTAAAGGATTCTCACAAATGAGAAGTCAAGGATTATTTTTCTGTTTGGCTGAATTCTAAGCACGGGGGCATTTATTTGCTTTGTTCTATGACTATAATAGTCTGTGCTATTAAGTTTATAATACATCCAAGGCTCCAATGAACACATTTCCAATGTCTTTGAAAGTTTAATTAATATTTACCCTGTTGAATGGCATCTTTATGAGGAACTGTATTGAAAGATGAAATTAACTTAGTGATTTGTATTCTATTCTGGATGTTCAGTTATCTGATGGAACTCAGTGTAGTAATTTGATGTGATAAGATCAGCAAGATCTATACTTTTGTTTGGTTGTGATCTTTTTAAAAATAAATAACCTTTAGGCAAATCCAAAAACAAATGGTAGAGGAGATTATCCTTTGAGATTCCTAGGAAATAAGGACATTTTCATGGCACAAAGCCTTCTTTTTCTGAAAATTAATATTAGGCTATTTTTCCTTTACACTCTTGACAAGAGTTCACAGTGAAAATTGAGATAAGCAATTTCGGTGAGAACAAACATTTCATTACTTTATTAATCAAGCAAGCAAAGAATTGAGACTATAAGCTGTTCTACCAGGCATATTTTCAGCCCAGTAAAATCAAGATCTTTCCTCTAGTCCTTAGAAAGAAATTGGAAGTTAATCCGCGATGAAGGTCTTGCTGTGATGGATAAAGCCCAAGGCCTCTTCCTGCCTGAAGATGAGAACCTGAGAGAGAAGGGCGATTGGAGCCAGTTTACTCTGTGGCAGCAAGGTGAGCTCCTGACTCCAGACTGTTCTCTCAAGCTGACAGGAACTGGGCATGAGTCTTCTGGTGATATTCCCCAAAGCCCAGTTGCTCTAACTTTAAGGGAAAGTGCCCATAAAACCTAGATTATCAAAATCCATTAAAGACCTATATATGAACTCTTATGTATGCAGATGTAGATACATGTGTGTATATTTAAACATGTACTTTGGATAAACATATATAAACAGCATTTAATTTTCCTGGTCTTGCCTATTAAGCAGTATGTTACAAATGATATTCTTCTGTAGTCAGAAGTTCACTGTGAGTGCTTATCAATGTCTTAGAAAAAAGAACCCCTGAACCTCGTCATCACTCCTGGTGAACGGAAGTGACATAGCATGCCAAAATGATGTCACCATAGGAGAGTGTTAGAGATGATAAAACAGGTGTGACAAGAGATAGTAACTGTTGTGTGAGCTCTTCAGTAATAAAAAGTGGTTCATCTTCAATCTGATACTCCTGGCCCTGAATCCAGACCCAGGCTCATATATGTAAATTAGTAATCAGTCTGTCCTTAACATGAGAACCATTGAAATTTCTCTGTAAATCTCTTTCCACTTATTTTCTTTAAAAATCAGGATAACCTGGCTAACAAGAGCTACACCAAAATAAGTCTATTTTGAGGACTAAACATATGTGCTGCACATCTTTGGCTACACAAAATAGAGAGGAGAATAAGCAGTCGGTTTACATTCAAGGACAGGAAAACAGTTTATCTCAGTGATGCTTTCAGAATATCTTACATGTAAGAGAGGAAATTAGCTCAGTAATATTTTCAAGGAAACACTGGGAGAGAAATCATATCATCTCAAGGGACTTTCAGATTTTCACCAATAAAAACTTTGTCATGTAGCTATAAGGTCAATAGGTGAACAACTTGCTATTTTTTTTCCTGTGCCATCTTACTGAAATGAGTCAAATCTGTTGGCCTTAAGCATTCAGAACTTCACCTGATGCCTCTCATCCTCCTGTATAAAGCAACATATGACTGGTACCTCCCTCAGCAGGTGTGTAGGCATCAGATGAATCGCTTTGGGATTCATTGTGAGCACCAGAAGACTGTTATTGATTCCTGACCCCTCACGATCATGTGTGAATAGTAAAAAGTACCAGTGGGAATCAGGAATATGGGACATCTATTATCTAGCTGCCCCAAGCCCTGAGGACCAGAAACAATTAGGAGTTGAAAGGATTGGTTGCCCTCTAATCCAGTCCTGACCAGGAGGCAAACACTTGGATAGTTACCCATTCATTACTTATCTTTCAGTTACATCATTTCTGCTCTTCCAGTGGCACTTGCTCTGCCCTCCCTATTGTACCCATGAAATCTAGCTAGCTCTGGTTGCTCCTCAAGCCATCAGACTTCATAAAAACATTGCACATAGCACAGAACCCAGAATTGGGGACTCTTGCCAAGCCATCTTCACATCCTGTGTGTGGGTAGATATGGAAAAGTAGTACTGGAGAATGCTTTAGGATGAATTATCCAGGATCTATTTGTCCAAATTGACATCATTCATCTCATTTGAAGTACTATATTAGTAACTAAAATAGCCTCTAAGATTTTACTCAATTGAGAAGAGGATAACCTAGTAAAAGTTAACATACATGTAGAGGTTGTTTGCTAAAGTACTATGGATATGTAGGACTCATGGCAAAGATGGAGCTTCTGGAAGCCATGCACTATGCAGCCATACACTCTGGAAGCCATGCCCATCTGGTGGGCATCTCAGGGACTGCTTGTGGCAGTTACTGGCTTGTTTCTGCTGACAGCTTAGCCATGCAAAGGAGAGTATCAGCAGCACTATTAAAGATCAAAAATTGTGGATGAGCAATTTCCTGAAGAACAAGAAAATATAAAGGCAACAACAGGAAAGAACAGCAACATCTTTTTTGCAGACTGAACAGAAATGTTTTCTAAAAACAAATATACTGGATGAATTGGGGGGAAAAATAATGCCAAGAAGTAGAAAACTTACACAAGACCAAAATCAAGTCATACTTGATTTCAACAGTGTGTGGCATTTCTGTAAGCTTTTCTATGCATTTGAGCAAAGATTTGAAAGATGATTTGCTCTGCAGTCCTTAAGGACAGGGGTCCACCATTAGTAAACAGTTGTGAAAGTCTAATGTTAACTACCACTGTTTACTTTCTGGTCATGTCCTTCACTTGAGAGGTGTTTTGAACACCCGGACTATGAAAGATGAAAGAGGCTGTGTGTTCCTGTGGAATGGACAAGTCTTTTGTAGAGTCATGGTTAAAACTGAAGAAAGCAATACTCAAATTATGTTTAATTATCTTTCCACTTGTAAGGATTAATCTGATATTTTGTGACTCATCCCATAAATTCAAAGGTTGAGATTATGTTTTCTATACAATCAAGCTTCTAGTCATTGTCATCGTTTGGTAAGGCTATTTTTGGTTGTCATAGCTTACTTTGGTATTTTAGTCATTTCAGTAAGCATTTCTCTCTCTCTTTAGTTGGTGTCTAATCAATGGCAGGAATTTTCAGAATTGATATCATATCTACTTCCATTTCTAGATGTGAGGGTTAAAAATTTTATCTTTGGAAATATATTTCTGGAGAGAATGTTATCAATGAATGTGTTAATACCCTCACTCAAATGTCAGCAGACTTACCAACATTTGTATTGGTGGTAACAAATGAAGACAATCTTCAGACATGAAGATTGTTCCTTTAGATGTGTTATTCCCTCAAGCTCCATTTGAGGTTCATTGCAGTATCATTACAACTGCCCCACCTACAAGTGAAACATTTAGGGATTTTTTTACTGATGGATGCATAAAGGAAACAGTTCATTGATGTCCTGAGTTTTGCAGTCAAGAGATGTGCCTTGTGTTTACCCAGGGATGACAGCCTGATATCAAATGAACTTTTGAAAACTTGTGATAGGAAGGTAAATATTGCAATCCTGTTTTCTAGAAATATTGATCCCATGGTCAGTGCAACTCTTGCTGTCAGATCACCTTAAATGAGCTATCAGTAGTTGATTTTCTTAGTGTGATTTTCATGACTAAAGAAAGAAATGTATCAGCTACTTTTAATAAAAAGGAAAGGCAGAAAAATCATTGTGAAACCCCTTCTGAAGGGTCTAAAAATGCTGTTACTGCTAACAGTCTGGATAAGCTGTTCATAGGACCAGATAGAATCATAGGAAGAATAGAACTAAAGGAATTCACACTGCAAGCCTTTCCCAGATTTGATTATTTTGTTAAAATTAATATTTTTCTGGAAGAACTGTGCTAATTAAGAAGAACTCAAATATGCCAGTTAGTCTAGCTCTTGCATACAGCTTGGCACGATAGCATAGTCTGTGCAGTCTGGGTTTGCTTATAAAGGAATTGGCTGGTTAACATCTAGGATGAAGTGAAACAAAGGTAATTCTTCTTGCAAATGATGCAGATGAACAATTTGTAGGTTATTGTCATCATTGTGTCCTCTTCAGACACTTGGGCTATAAGGATTTAATTAGGAAATTGAGGTGGAACTAGGCTGAATTTTTTTCTAGGAATCTTGGTCATGGTAACAAAGTTATTGGTGATCACGGAAAAGAAGATTTCCTTTCTTATGTTGTCTCCTTTCTGAATTCCCTATCAGTTAGGGGGAAAGCAATCTTGACTTCATTGCATGGAACTGGTGAAAACCTAACTTTGTACCTTGCAGCAATAAAACTTGGTTTAATAGCTTCCACTTTTCTGTTGAAACAGGCCGTACAATTTGGATCTAGAATTCAAAAGTGGAAAACAATGGTGAAAAGGGCATCTGATAAATGTGTTGTTTCCTTAGAAAACCTTTAAAATGAAAAGGAGATTAAAACATGATTTGACCTGTGAAAACATTTACTGAATGATTATATTTTTTAAAAAAACAAAAAGCAAAATTCCACTGCTTTAAAAAAAAAATGAACAAGTGAAGTATTAAAGTTCATTGATTGAGAATACCTATAAGTTGCTTTTCTTGATGATTTTCATTTCATTCACAGTAGATGATTATTTGAGAACTAACAATTAAAATTGTACCCAGCTTTATATGTAGCATTCCCTTCTAGGAATCTTGACTAGGCCATTAAAATATTTCTATTTTTAAAATCCTTAAAAATATAGAAGGGAATCAAAGCCAAGGCTGTGGAAGCACCTAGATGCTGCCCCCAGAAGGAATGTGGCCTGCTGAGACTTTGATTTTAGCCCGTTGAGACCTTCATTAGAGAAAATGGTGATGTCTACATTCCTGAGCGTAACTTCCCTAGGAGACAGTGATCTTGCAGATGATGAAGGAAATGCATAGGCCAGGATACCTAAAACTAGGCACCAGAATATGTTCCTGACATAGTTACTGAAATAAAAGAACAATCATCTCTTCCCCTCTTCATTTAAAACCTATCCTTTATCAACATAAGAAGGACAGTCTGTACAAGGGAAAAAAAATAATTCTAATTAAAAAAGAATGCATAGGTAACTCTTTAATACAACACTAGATAGACATTTTCAGGTTAGAAATATAAGCTAAGTAATAGTCCACTGTGTAAATATACCACATCTCCTTGATCCAGTCATCTAATTTGGGCATTTGGGCTACTTTAATAGCTTACCTATTGTAAATAGTACTGCAATAAACATATGGGTGCATTCATTCCTTTTAAATTAATGTTTCTGTGTCCTTTGGATACTACTCAACAATCAAAAAGGATAAACTCATGCCCTGCACATGAATGGAGCTGGAAGAGATCGTACCCAGTGAAATACACCAGAAAGAAAAAGAAAAAAATTTCATGGTCTCACTTATAGGAGGAATGTAGAAGAGCCAAATAAAGAATCGGGGTGGGGTGGAGTAACTATAATAAAGTAAACATAAAAATCATCAGATAATTATAGATCGGAGACATTCTATAGGGAGGGGAAAAGAGGGAGGACCAGGACAGGGGAGGGAAGAGCACAAGGGACTATGGTGATGGTGCACAGGGGAATTGGTGGTGGGCATTTCACCAGGAATTCGTACATTGTACAAAAACTAAGGGTGGTATAATAAAGACATTAAAAATAAATAAATAAATATAAGCTGATTTCATTCTTTAGTTTACTGTGACTCCTGTAACAAATTAGCACAAGCATACTTGTTTAAATAATACAGATTTGTTGTCTGTGCAGTTCTGGAGCCAGATGACTACAACAGGTTTAAATCAAAGTGTCCTAAGGCCTCATTCCTTCTGGGGCAGCTTCTAGGTGCTGTCCACATCCCTCGGCTTGTGGTCCCCTTTCATTTTCAAAGACAGCAATGAGCAGTCAAGTCTCTCTCTGACTTAGTCTTTGCACTGACTTTTCTGCTTGCCCCTTCCACAGTTAAGGACTCTGTGACTACACTGGACCCACCAGTTAATTTAGGATGATCTCCTTATTTTAGAAGTCGCTGATTAGAAATATCAAAGTCATTTGCAACCTTAACTTTCCTTTGCCATGTAATATAATGCAGTCACGTGTTCCTGGGCTTAGGATGTAGACTCTTGGGAAAGTGGCCATTAGTCTGCTTGCCACATAGGGGAGATAAGTGTTCAACAGTTACCTTGACCATTCAAATCCATAGTCAAATAATCTAGCGCGGTGCAGAATTCTTGTCCTTGCTCTTTCAGTCACTCTTTATTGAAACAAAAAGCTTTACCTTCTTATATATACTCGGCCATCTCACTGTACAATGGGAATGTTAATCTAGATTGTAGAAGGTTTAAGCAGGGTGAATTAAAACTCTGCCATGACTTATTTCTAACATAGTTTTATCATTTATTGTTCTAGGAAGAAGAAATGAAAATGCCTGCAAAGGAGCTCCTAAAACCTGTTCTTTATTAGATAAATTCCCTGAGACAACAGGATGCAGAAGAGGACAGGTACCAAGAGGATTTCAGGGCTGGAAAAAACACAATTAGTTATTAGTACTAAAATAATGGTAACATTTATAAAGAAATGGTTATTTCCTTCGGCTCAGCAAATGTCTTTTTTATCCCCTTCTTAATAAAACATAATTTCATGTGGTTGACGTCAGAATTGAGGGTGGAAAATGTTCCATGTTTATCACTTGGTGGAAAATGGAAATCTTTATTTTTAGCTCCTTCACAAAGAAATAAGATGAATATAAATTCTGAGTCTTACAAAGGCTCTAATCCAAATTGACAGTAATTTTGTATTGTCACTTTAATTTAGCTGTTCCTCCACACCTTGATAAATGGATGAATGGTGTGTTACATTTTCTTTGCAGATCAAATATTCTGTCATGCATCCAGGAACTCACGTGTGGCCTCACACGGGGCCCACAAACTGCAGGCTCCGAATGCATCTGGGCTTAGTGATTCCCAAGGAAGGCTGCAAGATCCGCTGTGCCAACCAGACCAAGTATGTTTCCTCCCATCATTTCCTCTCTCATCCATCACCTCTGAGCATAACTGTTGATTGCAACACAGCTATGTTCAGTTGGATAATTTCTCTTCTGTTGTAGCTAAAGTAGACTGGGCAGGTAATATTGATCCAGACTTCAGTTTTTGTCGCTCTTTTGTGCTTTCTGTTGAGATAACCCCCAGTTCTATGATTGCCCTCCTGAATCATCTCTCACCAGACCACTCTCATCAAGTTGGTGAGCCTTCTCGATTCTCTTTCTGGACGGACAGACTTGCATTTAAAGCCGCTAACTTTTGTTGAGTCTCACATATATTTCACATTGTGCTTATTGATTTATGACTTGAACTGTTCACATGTACAAAGAGCTCCCTTTTCCCCAAAGAAAACCCCAGGTGTTACTTACGCTTTGCTCTAGAGGAATCAAAGTGGTAAAATGGAAGCCTGTTGTCTTTTTCAAATCCCAATCTCTGCCAACTAGTCCTTTCTAACCTCAGCCATTTGTTTAATCCCTGCAAGCCTCAGCCTCCTTACTTAGGAAATGGGTAGTGATGTTCTACTCTGCGGGATTATTGTAAAGTTAAGATGAAATCATGCACATGAGGTGCTTAACCCAGGTTCTGACTCCAACAGTGTTATGGTCAAAGTTAGGGCCTTTCTCCTAGGCCTTTTCCTAATCCTTTTACTACTTTCCCCTGGAATGCCTGTCTTTTTAGCCCTCCAAAATAAGCCTGTTACTAAGATTCAGTTTAGTTTCATAAAGGGGAGCCTCTCTTCTGATTTCTATGAGTGTGCACGGTATGTCTTCATGGTAATCCTTTTGTTTATCTTCCCTTGCTTTCTGTTAATTGTATGTATCAGTCTAGTCTCTATGAGCCATAAACTCCTAGAAAGCAGTCACAAGTGGTCTTACCAGCTTCTCATGACTTTTAGTAGAGGGCCGCATTGGAGTGGACAGTCTCTCAGATGTTATTGGCAGTTTCTGCCTGCCCCGGACAGGGCACAGCAGCATTAGGGATTCACTGATGAGCCAGATGGGGCCTTCCCCTGCAGATGTGCCCAATGGGAGATCACACTGCTCAAGTGACATGTGAATTATAAAAGTGACACAGATAAAAATGCTGCAGATGGGTCAGTGAGCAGATAGTTGATTTGCCTCCGAGGCTTGGGAATCCTAATGGCAGTGGCCTTTAAAGATAGGAAGGATGTGCTCCGCCACCCCACCCCCACCCCACCCCCTGTGGCGCAGTGGGTTAAAGCACAACACTAAGAAGCTAAAGCCACTTCCGCATGAGTTTGATCCCCACCAGCCCCAGAGGTGATCCACATGGCGGCAACAGATCTCTCCTGACCCACCAGCTGCTCCCCTCAGCAGTGTACTTCAATGATCTGCCTGTTCTGCTCCTCACTCTGTCTCTGGTGAATCCTCTCACCCACCACACCTCTGGCCTATACCCCAGTTCTGTAAGCATAAATAAATCTTA